CTTATATTATTTACATTATACGGACTGTTATCCCCGATTTCATTACCATATATTACCGTTGTACGCTCCGGCTTTCTTCAAGTGATTGGAATTTCGCACCGAACACATTATCTTGTCCACCGAAGCAGATAGTTCTAGTTCCACGTGCCATGCCTCTTCCGGATGTATCAGTTATTTCCCTTTAACTCAACTCTCCAAGTTTTGGTTCATCACTGCTGTGGCCTGGTATTGAACTTAAAACTTTTTGAGTCTAGTCACTGGATCTAACCAATGTCTTTATCCACTGGGCCATGTGTCTTCAATGTATTTTCTCTTTTGTGTGCCGTGATATTAATACAGTGATTCTCAACCGGCGTGCTGTGGCACACTGGTGTGCCGCGCGATTTTCTTTGAGTGTGCCGCGAAATATTTGTCACAGCATACACATATGTGTGTGTGCGTGTGTGTAGAAGTAGTAATAGTACAGCGTTAGTATTTTAATAAATGAATAAGTATTAAGGTTTTTTTTTTTCAAATAATTCTTTTCACTATTGTTCGATTATGTTATTTTAAACCCTTTCGTTTAATATTCATTTTTTAAAGAGTATTTTTAGTTTTTGAATTTAACTTTGTAAAAACCCTTGACCCATTTCTAGCGATCGAGGGCTCAAAATAAAACATTCGGCGGTAGCCATTGATACATTTTGGATTTCGAAACAAAAGGAATATACCACATTAGTTATTAGGGCTTTATCAGTTTTATTGCAATTTACTGCTTCTTATTTATGTGAATTAGGTTTTTCAACCCTAAATAACATCAAAAATAAGAATCGAGAAAAACTACGCTCAACTGAAGAAGAAATGGGGGTCTGCTTATCGCACATTCGACCAAACATTGAAGAAATCGCGGAAAAACACGAAGCATAGGTTTCACACTAAATAAGTTTCACAAATAGTTGAATAGAAACATTGAAATAAATTAAATTCATATTTATGTGTGTGTGTGTGTTTGTTTTAATCTATGGTTTTATTTCATAGCATTTAAATGTATACCCTTTAATAATTTCGCTAAGTGTGTCAGGATATGTTCATTTACAAGGGATGGTTGCGTGTTGATACAACAAAAGTTAATAAAATGAACACGCAACCACCCCTTGTCTGGATGAATGGATTTCTCTGTATCCTTGGAAACTGTAAATTATGATTTTTGCCGTGTCTTTAAACCTCAGTAAATTTAAAAATAAGTTACTCCAAAAATCGATTCAGGATGAAATGGAACTAATGTCTTTAATTTAATTACAAAATTACATTCGAAGCTTTTAGCTTCCATTTTTGAAACATGGTTAGAACTGTGTAGCGAAAAAAAAATCATATTTTAAATCAGTTAATTTATAATATATATATATATATATATATATAAGGAGAGAGAGAGAGAGAGAGAGAGAGAGAGAATGGATCACTCAAATCACATCTTAATGATGTTAACATAATCGACAAATAACATCACTGCAAATCAAATCATCGTGACTGAAAAAATCGTCATATAAACTCTTCATTTTAGTAAGCCAAAAAGAGAAATTGTAAGAAAGTTTAATATTTAGTAACATGGTTTGCACAAAAAAAAAGGAAAAAAAAAAAAAAGGAAAGAAAGTTGTGAATGGCATGTTCAAAACACGTCAGAAGAATACGTATGTGAATGAAAGCGAGGTAAGTAAATAAGTCATGTGAAATACGTACAGGTCAAGATGACATAGCTTTCATTATGGTATGTGTATAAAGCAAACAGTAAGCCACAATAGTGAGTGTTAAAAAAATCACGTGCAAGTCCCGCTTCACAAGATTTTAGGCAGGTAAGGCAGAGCACTATATACACGCTGTTAGGGAGCGGGTGATTTGAAACAAGGAAATCGTATCCCAAGTTAAACATTTTTTTTCTCTATCGGAATAAATAAAGCGTGATGTATCATTAATAGCAAAACGTGTTGCTGTGTATTTTCTAATACACTCCTAACCACTATATAGACTGGGCTTTTACAAAATGTTATTGTTATGTTATATTGAATTAAGTTTTCTTAAAAAATAAGCAGGAGTACCTGGTCTTGGTCGGTTTTCTAAATGTCTAAAAAGAATATAGTGCTCCGAGTACATTTTACTTAGTCTAAGGGAATTTTTAAAAGACGGACGCAATATCTAGTTGTTTCAGGAATGTTAATTTTATCAGAAATAAAGAATAGAGTCACATAAGTTCAATAAGTTTTGCAACGGTTGCTTTAAAAAACATGGTTTTATTATCAGATGATCCAGGAAAATCAATTCTATCAAAATTGTTGTTTCGCTCCATGAAATAAAACAGTTCTATTTAAATCAACAAAATTTTATAAAAATAAATAAATAAATAAAATAAACATATAATAAATATAGGACCTAAAAAAAAATAGTTTTATTCTTTCAATTTAAAAGGAATTCTTGCCCCACCCTCCAATAGGATACTTATTTTTAAAATTATAGTATCCGAATCAGTGTCAATTCCATCCTCTACAGATATAGCAAATTTGAAACAATATATATATATATATATATATATATATATATATATATATATATATATATATATATATATATATATATATATATATAGTTTTAAAAACAAGGAAACTATTGATTTTAATTTTAAAAGTCTCTAGGGCCCTTTCAGCCAACATCTCATCAGGAGACAATCGTTGGATTAGCGAAAAGAATATTAACGATATTGAAGAGCAAAAAAAAAGGGGGAAACACACTAAAATAACAAACAAGTATATATACTTGTAACGAGGGAAGGGGAAATAATCATGTAAATAAATTAGCGAGGGACAGTTATATATATATATATATAGATAGATAGATAGATAGAGAGAAAGAGAGAGAGAGAGAGAAAGAGAGAGAGAGGAAGAGAGAGTGAGAGAGAGAGTGAGAGAGAGAAAGGGTATTGGGGCTGTAGATTATTATTTAGACATATATTGTTAAATATAACAAAAAAATGAACGTCCATTATATTTCATCAAGAGCTGTTCTAAACTTCCTATGGTTGCTTTAATTTCGGGTGAAAATAAAGACAAATATTGTCCAACATTTGGATATTTTTTTATTAAGTTGATTCTTGATCTAAGCTTTCGGTTCACATGAGTCATCTTCTGATTCATGATAAATTAATATTTCAGTCTCTCACGTGGTACGACGTCATAGAACCGCATCATGAATTTACGACTTGCGTCTGTTATTCCGCGACAGTTATCGTCTCATAGCAATATTCTATGTTAACATAACAGAATATCATATTTGATGGTGAATATCTTTGTTTATATGTCCGTATAACCATTTTGAAGATGGCTCATGTGAGCCGAAAGCTTAGATCAAGGAACAGCTTAATAAAAAATATCCAAATGGTGGATAATTTTTGTCATTATTTTCACCCGGAATTAATGCAACCAGAAGAATTTAGGATTTTGATCAAACATAATAGATATTCATTGTCTGTTATATTTAACAATTTATATTTAAATCTCTCTCTCTCTCTCTCTCTCTCTCTCTCTATATATATATATATATATATATATATATATATGTGTGTGTGTGTGTGTGTGTGTGTGTGTATGAACAGTAATCTTTCTTTTAAACATGCTTTGCTGAATATGATAGAAAAGGAAAATTTAATTAATACATGAGAACATTTGATATTCTGTCGTCACTCATCCTTGCCCCATGATCAGTCCAGCTGAGTTGTAATTGCATCAGGAAAGTCTCAATTCAATATATATATATATATATATATATATATATATATATATATATACACAGATATCTTATTATTATAAAACCAGGTTGTGTGCGTGTGTGTGTGTCTTTCGTTTATATATGGGATCGGATTTCCTACATTTTTCAACCGATTTCAACAAATCTTCACAGGACTACATAAAATTATCCGGCGGTGGTTCTGACAGCGCCAAAAATTGGAAAAACACAATTGTTTTTGCACGAAATCAATTTGAAAGCACGGGTAAGGGCCATTCATGCAGAGTTTTCGCAGTCTTTGGACGATGTTTTGTTACCGAGCCACAAAAACAAAGCAAATGGTCCAGTTTCTAATAGCACTAACAAGTACCAAATTGTTTGCAAGACTGTCAAAGCCGCTTGACCAGGGAACCATAAACGGGGGTACCAAGGGACAGGATTTAGCCCTCTGAACACACATTCACTGGCACAGTATGTACAGTTTTGAAATTTACGACACACTTGCGGTTTACTATTGCCTTTATGCGTGTCAAATTTCAGAATTTTAATCAGCAAAAATAACCGTAGCAGCACGCGGATCAGTCTTTTTTGTAACTTCCTTACACACACACACAGCTGCGTACAACCGAGTCCGCGTGTCGATACCGAGACTGCTGCAAGCCCATTGGTCGCTTTCATAGAGGTTGACCTTGGGGCCTGTCCAGTCATCGCGCAGGATTTCGCACACGTTATAGCGCCCGCATGATCGCAGGTCAGCTTATGTGTAAGTGCGCTCACCTCTATTGCGTGACTCGGGCGTGCTTTCACACTTTTGCGTTTATTGTTGCCCGCGTGCACGCACTTGGCTTACTTTACTCGCCTACTTCGGACACTGCAAGTTGTTGATGACGTGTTCTAGCTGCTTTTTTGTTTTATAGTTCCAACCCAATCCCACACACGTTAGCCAATTGTACTAAAAACCCATTTCCTTTTGGATTTACCTTTGGTTTACCTTTTTAAATTTCCACTTTTTTAGTTTCAAGTTCCCTTTTAGTAACATCTGAACTCATTTTACTGGGTGTTCCCCTTTTTGTGTCTACGTTAGCAGTGCAAGTTTTTTCGTTTTGGATTTGTCGAAATCTCGTTTTAAGCTTTACCCTCTTTGACGTTTTTACTGTTTGATGCCATCTAAAAGGAGGAAACTTTTAGGATGGCGCACGGCAGCTGCCTCCGCAGCTAGAGCAGCGAGGGCAAGTGAAACCCCTGAACAGACTTCTTTGCATCTTTCACCGATGGCCTCGAGCTCAGCTGCTCGCTTATCTACGGGAAAGCACCGCTGCGCGGATTGAAAGGTTGGCTTCAGCGGCTTCAAGCATGTCAGCACGCCGCGCCAGGCTTTCAGTTGAAGAACGTTCACTTCAGAATTCACAGGACACAGTCTGCGTGGCTAGGTTGAGGGCTTCAGAGTCCCCAACACAGAAAACCCTTCGTCCTTTGCGGGATGCCACCGCCAAAGCTTGTTCCAGGGGTTTAGAAAGCCCCGAACAAACAACTTCACGTCTTCTTAGGAATACTCGGGCTACAGCCGCCTCTAGAGCTTCGGAACAACCCCAAGAAACCGCTCATCGTCACTTTAGAAATGCCCTACCCACCGCGTCTACCAGAGCCTTAGAAAGTTCTGCACAGACCACTGTTCGTCCCGTTAGAAATGCCCGCTCCACTGCATCTGCTAGTGCCCTAGAAAGCCCTGCACAAACCACTGTTCGTCGCGTTAGAAATGCCCGCTCTACCGCGTCTGCCAGGGCTGCAGAAAACTCTGAAGTACGCCGTCAACGGCTCGAAAACATTAGCCAACTTGGAGCTTCTTTGAATGGCGTAACTTCGCCGTCTGCGTCATTTTGGTCAAATGCCGCATACAATTATGACTGCACTGTCAACTATTCAGCTAGGAGAGACGTACAAATAGGGGCCATGGATAAAGTTTGCACTTTTTGCAACGCAAAAATGTGGGCTGGTGAGCAACCTGGGCTTTGTTGCTCTGGGGGTAAAATCAAACTCCCTTCTTTAGACGAACCTCCCCAGCCGCTCAGGGACCTCCTTCTGAGTACAACGCATTTTTTTTGAAGCAATACGGAAGTACAAATGTTGCTTCCAGATGACGTCTTTTGGTGCGAAGGCTATTAGTGAGGAGCGATGGATGCCTACTTTCAAAGTGCAAGGCCAGGTTTACCACTTAATGGGATCATTCTTGGCTGATCAGGGAGAGCCACCTTCGTTCCTACAAATTTACTTTCTCGCCGACTACAACGAGCAGGTTGATGCGCGTCTCGGCATTCTGCCTAGCGATATTTCCGTCGGTTCCCGTAGAGACATTCTGTTCCGTCTACAAGACATACTTCACGAAACTAACAGTTACATCCGAAGCTTAAAGTTTGCGTTGCAAAACAACTCTTCGCCCTCTTTCAGCGTTGTCATCGATGCAGACAGACGGCCTCACGGCGAGCATGAGCGTCGCTTCAATGCTCCTGCATGTAATGAAGTCACCGCAGTCATCCACGGTGAGGAGCATAACAGCCGTGATATTGTCATAAGGTACCAGGGCGGTGGTCTGTGCCGCATCAGTGAAACCCAACGTTCATACGACTGTCTCCAGTACCACCTCCTTTTTCCATACGAAAGCGATGGGTACCACTTCAAAATCCCAATATACCAGGCAAGCAGCGATTCCATGTTGACCTCAAAGACGGTTTCCTGTAGGGCTTACTAGGCCTACATGTTTATGGTTAGGGAGGGTGAATTTGACCACTTGCACAGGTGCCGTCAACTATTTCTTCAATTCGCTGTTGACATGGCTGCAAAAATGGAGTCGGAGAGGTTAGGATTCATCAAGTTAAACCAATCCAAACTTAGAACCGACTCCTATATTCACTTTCGTGATGGTCTGCGTTCTGATGGTGACACACGCAATCTCGGCAAACCGTGCATTTTGCCTTTCTCTTACACTGGTGGCCCTCGATACATGCATGAAAGGACACAAGACGAAATGAACTATGTCCATCATTACGGGAGGGCTGATTTGTTCGTCACGTTCACGTGCAATCCGAAATGGGTTGAAATCACACGCGAACTTTTTCCAGGTCAGCAGTACTCGCACCGCCTTGACCTAATTGCCCGCGTTTTCCGGTAACAGTTGTGTAAGCTTATGGATTTCATCCTTAAAGAGCAAGTCTTCGGACGCGTTAAGTGTCATATGCATACAGTGGAATGGCAGAAACGCGGTTTGCCTCATGCCCACATTCTGCTGTGGCTCAACGATAAGGTTGACGCAAACAAAATAAACGATTTTATTTCTGCTGAAATTCCGGATCTTGCGCTGGATACTTTGCTCCACGAAATCATTAAAAACAATATTATACACGGCCCCTGGGGCGCGAATTGCGAAAAAAGGTCATGTTGGTCAAGCGGCCCCATTTGCGCAAAGGGTTACCCCCGTAAGTTTATCTCAGAAATGCAGACTCCGACGGATGGTTACCCAATGTACAGACGTAGAAGCCCCGCTGAGGGCGGCAGAACTGTGACAGTTAAGGGGAACACTCTGGACAATCGTTGGGTGGTGCCTTATTGTCCGCTGCTGTCCAAGACTTTTGGAGCCCACATAAACGTTGTATACTGCCACTCGGTTAAGCCAATAAATTACATCTGCAAGTCGTTAATAAAGGCAGCGACGCTGCCGTTTTCGGTATCCGGCGCGACAATTGCGTTGACGAGGTGGCCGATTACGTGGCTGGACGCTACCTTAGCAGTAGCGAGGCCTTTTGGCAAATTTTCGGATTCCCCATACACCAAAGGTCTCCAGCTATTGTGCAGCTTGCTGTTCATTTAGAAAATGGACAGAGGATGTACTTCACCGAACAAAACGCCCAGCAGGTTGCGGAAGACCCTAAAGACACAACCCTAACAGATGCTTTTGCCAAAACATTGATATACCCCCAAGTCCCGTCCTACTACGTGTGGTCAAACAACCGGTGGGTTCGGCGAAAGGCTGGCGACCCTGTCGAGGGTTATCCCGATGTAAGGTCTAACTCTTGCCCTGGATGCGTTTATACTGTGCCCCCAGCCAGCAGAAGTGCTTTTACCTCCGCCTTCTATTTCATGAAATTGCTGGGCCAACGAGTTTCACAGATATTCGCACTGTCAACGGCATAGAGTGCCAGTCTTATAGAGAGGTATGCTTCCGTTTGGGATTCCTTGAAGACGACTCCCAATGGGATGCAGTCATGGCGGAGGGTGAACTTCGCAGGACGCCATCACGGCTTCGAACACTGTTCGCCATTTTGCTTTTGCGATGCGAACTAAGCGATCCTCTGTCGCTCTGGCTAAAGTACAGAGAATCCATGTCAGAGGATGTGCTGTTCTCCGTTCAGCGTAACAGCCCAGGAGTTGAATGCGTTTTGACTGCCTTCATATTCAACAGAGCGCTGGTGGCCCTAGAAGATGTTGTTTTCGAACTGGTTTGTGCCTCTTTACCAACTTACGGTTTACCACCACCGCTCAGAGACCGTTTTGACACTGTACCAACTGAGTTATTGCGGGAAACATCCTACTCCATCGAGGGGCTGAACGCATACATTACCGAAAACGAGCCCAAACTTCTACCTGATCAGAGGGTTGCTTTCACTACTATAACAGACAGGGCAAATGGCTCCAGTGGAGGTATATACTTTTTAGATGCGCCCGGAGGAACTGGCAAAACTTTTGTTACTAAATTAGTCCTGACAGAGGTACGGCGTCGTGGGGAGATCGCTATCTTCCGGGATTGCTGCAACGTTGCTACCGGAGGTAGAACCGCTCATTCGGCTTTTAGGTTGCCGCTTGATCTATGCAAACTCCTCTCTGCAACATAACAAAGAATTCGCCACAGGCTGAAGTTCTGCGGAGATGCAGACTTATAGTTTGGGATGAGTGCACAATGGCACACAAGGGCGACCTTGAGGCACTTGACCGAAGTCTCCAAGACATCCGCGACTCCTCCGACCCCATGGGTGGAGTAACCCTTCTCCTCGCAGACAACTTTAGGCAGACTCTACCTGATATTCCTAAAGGTACACGCGCTGACGCTGTCCGCGCCTGTCTGAAGTCGTCTGCCCTTTGGCGCCACGTGAAGACTCTTAAACTGAGCACGAACATGCGTGCCTACTTGAATGGGGACTTCAGAACCACTGACTTCGCACGGGACCTTCTTGCTCTTGGGGAGGGGAAAATGGCATCTGACACACAGGGTTTTGTGCAGATGGATCAGCTTGCCACCACTGTTGAATCACCGGATGAATTGATGAATGCAGTCTTCTACAACCTATTCACTAATTTTGCCGATTGGCTTGCATTCCCGGGCAATGTCATGTTTATAAGTCCATCGACAGAACTTCCGATCCATCTGAATTAGCTGAGTATCCCATAGAAGTTTTGAACTCCCTTCAGCCGTCCGCACTCCCACCTCATATTCTTCGGCTCAAAGTTAGTGCTCCGATTATGCTAATCAGAAATTTGCTCCCACCTAAACAGTGCAACGGGACTCGCCTCATTATTAAATCCTTTTCTCCAAACCTGATTGAGGCGACCGTTGCAACTGGCTGCGGCAAGGGGGAAGTCGTTCTGATTCCCAGGATGCATCTTCTGCCGTCAGACGCAAGCATACTAATCAACTTTCGTCGCTCACATTTTCTCGTGAAGCTTTGCTATGTCCATTAACAAATCACAAGGACAGACGCTTAGCATCGCAGGTCTGCATTTACGTGAGCAGTGCTTCTCTCACGGCCAACTTTATGTTGGGTGCTCACGAGTTGGGTCTAAGGACAGGGTTTTCATTTACTCTCCCAACAACTGTGCTAGAAACATAACCTACACGGAGGTCCTGTAGACAACCCGCCCGGTAGCGTTTAAGCGCCATGCACACATATGCAGTCCTATTGCATGGCAATTTTTTGTTTGTCATATTGGTTTTAACGTTAGGTCATCGTAGTCTCCACTTGCCATTACTAAGACATCTTTGTAATGGTTATCCAGCTCTTTTGCTGCCTTCTGACTTTCATACCTTCACCCGCCATCATCACGTTTGTTTGTACACTATGATAACCTCACCGTATTCAGTTGCAACACAAGCTGCTAGACACATGAACACCGGCATTAGACATGATTGCTCCACTAAAGTTCTAATTAACAGATGATCGGAGCACCTGCAGTTCGTACCAGTGCATACAAGCACATTCACACTTGAGAAGCTTCGGAGTTCGTTTAATTGTCACAAAATTCGAGTGCGTCTACTTTATTCAGGCTTCTGCTTCTGCTTTACGACGGCCATGGGTGAAACATGTTAGCCAAACGACTCTATTGTTTTGTTTGTAGTCGTGTAAAAAAAAACAACTAAAAACACGCGCCAAGTACGGCGACCCCGGTCGGTTTTCATAAGCTCTCAGCCGTGGTGTTGACTGCGACTGAAGAGATGGCACTTCTCCATTGCAATTACGATGCTCGGCCTTACGGCTATCCCCGTTGCGGTTTTAAGGGCTCTCAGCCGCGATGTTGATAAATCAGAATAAAGGAAGTTATATCACAGAAATTTTCTTACCATGACACCCCGTCACTGTTCGCTCTTTTCTCGGTTTTACGGTTCTGCTTTGTGGTCGTGGCAGCGCCGTCTTTTGGGCATAAGACGCGCCTTTTAGTTAGACAAGCGGTTTGTTTGTGATTACGCACGGCAGATACTTTATGTCTATGGCTTCCTCACGGCATGTTTTCCCTTCAATCCCTATGTATGTTGCAACTGAATCGTGGTTTCTTGACTACTTACCATAAGTGCTTCCAGTAATGCTTAACAGTCCAATTGGTTAAAGCAGTAACTGCTGCCAACTTTTACTCACAGATGTCTTAGTAATGGCAAATGACTGATGCTACAACGGCTTTCCGTTACTTCCTTCGATACCTTCAAATACATGGGCCTGCATGATGTCGGCTTAAACTTTGTGTGATTTGTGTTTCAGCGTTTTATAGAAACTTAGTTCCTGTCGACTTACAAAGCACATCTATCAAAGCAGCAGCCGTCCCCAAATCTTACTGTTACATCCCCGGGCAACAACGGGCTCTACTGATAGTATATATATATATATACATACAAACACATATTTATAGAGAAACACATATATATGCATATATATACTCACATATATACAAACATATAGATACACACACACACACACACACACACACACATATATATATATATATATATGAGTGTGTGTGTGCATACATACACATGCATATATATACACACGCACACACAGATATATGTATACATATACTTATATACTGAATAGAATAATTAAACGAAGATTGATAATGAACGATAATACTTAGGACAAGAACAACAGATATAAGATTCACCGGCGGCGCGTAGTAGTAGTAGTCAACTGCTAGTAGTGAGTCAAGTGAATTTCACCATGAATCTCCAACTGTAGGATATCTAACAACCACCCCACGTGGTCAGATGTGACACAAGGCCGAATGGCATCCGACCCCGTAGGCTCGGTAAAAGATTCTCCATAGACCCCGTATAAAATAAGGTCGGGTAGCTGTTTCCCGAGACGAGACTCTGCCCTTTGACATAGCCTCATCTGGGGATCCTCTCTGTCAGGAGGCAGAGAGTTTGACCAGTACAGTTTGAGACGAATCTCCAACTGCAGACCGACATAAAGTATTTACTACTGTATTTATGTGAACGTTATCGTTTGTACTGCATGCTACAACATACATTAAATTTTTCCGTTTGGTATGAGTAAGGGAGTACAAAATATAGTCCGTGCTGTCCATTGTCCCAAATGTTTTCGGACACTTCTTTAGCCATTTCCAAGGCTTTGTTTTTTAGGTGGTGTTAATTTCTCTTCATTTAATTTTGTGCTTCGCGTGTTGAGCGCGGATGGAATTCAAGTGAGCGTCTAGCCACCCGCAATTTACAAGAGCCATTAAGGAAAATTCTGGTCGAAAACACTAATATATAAATCAGATTACCGGAGAGGGCCCGTATATAAAACATCTCGCTTGCACTAACAATCTCGCCTTATTCAACCGCGGGAATGGGGTGTTGAAAACATTTATTTTAAAGAAAGAAAGACGCTCACTTGAATTCTAGC